GCCATAACATGTTTACACTTTGTCCTTTAGGTTGGCTTCATGAAGTTTATTCCCCAAAACACCAGTAGTTCAGAGAAGCATATTATCATGGCAACTGATAGCAAGATGATGGGTGGAATCTACCAGTATCGAATCAGTCCATCATGGGATACTGCCATGGTAACATTGCATCAGTTGACATCACCAGCCACATGTTTAGATGTTGATGACAGTCTCATAGCTTGTGGGATTGGTTCCTCTGGATTTCAGGAAGGTTTCACTGTTAGTATAATTACGATAATAATATTATATTTTTGACAAATTATTTGTCAAATTTGTTTTCAAATGTAAACCTGTTTTATATCAATATGATTATTTCTTTTCATGCCTAATCTGAAGTTTGTGAATGCAATTATGTCTCACATTGCTGTGCTGTATTAATTAGGACATTTTAATGAGATGACTAAGGCAATGTTAGTTTCTGGTTCAACCTATTTTACTAGCTCCGCTGTCGACTTTGTCGAGTGGAGCTTATCATATGAGTGATTGTCCGTTGTCGTCCGTCGTCAATGTTTTACTTTTTCAACTTCTTGAAAACTACAAGCCTGAATGCTTTGATACTTGGTGTATATGTACCTGGGTAGACCTCTCTCAGATTTGTTCATTTCATGATGATATCTTCAATTCTCTAATTTTGGTGAATATTTTTGGTAAAAAGTGATATTTTCGACTTCTTGTTAAAAACCGCAAATCCAATTGCTTTGATATTACATATATAGGTACTACATGTGGACGTCTCTCAGATTTGTTCATTTTGTGATGATATCTTCAATTATCTAATTTTGATGCTTATTTTTGTCATGTTTGGTGAAAAGTGATATTTTTGAATTCTTGTTGAAAACAACAAGTTCCATTGCTTTGACACTATACATATTCTTCATTTTCTAATGATATCTTCTGTTCTTTTGTTGAAATGTGCATTGCTAACAGCGGAGCTATCTCAACCGACTGGCTGCTTGTTAGTATATTAACTTAATTTATATACTGCTCATAAAATCACAATAAAATAAAAGTGATTATTTTTGTAAACAAAATATTTGCATAATTGTAGAACATTTTCACACTTAATTTCAAGACAATTTTTTGTTCCAAGTAACCTCCTTGTATCAATAATTGATCATATTTGGTATCTTCCGACAATGAAGACTTGATAAAACTTTTGTTTTATTTTTCATTAAAAATAATTTTAAATAAATTTTTGTCACAATACATACATTTGAGCTTTTTTTTTAATTTTTTTAATTATTATATAAATATCTGATTTACATATGCAAATTTAATTTTTTGAATATGAAGCATTTTCATTTAAACAAACAAACAAACAAACAATTACATAATTTATAATAACTTGTATTGTCTTTCAGGTTAAGATGTTCAACACAGAGAATGGCGGCATTGTTCAGACCCTTCACGGACATAGTTGGGATGTTTCCTGTCTGAATTTAATTGATAGTCCACCTTATATGCTAGTCACAGGTTGTAAAGACAAAAAGTAAGTATGATGATGAATGTACAGAGGTATTAAGACGATTGTATCGTCCATTGCATAGTGAAGATTGATGCAATGCTGTGCTGCCTGATTGCATACTTTTACTCAGGCTCAAATGTTCACTTGCCGTGCAGAAAGGAAACAATAGTCATCAGCAAGTTGTGTCACACTTTCCAGATAGGTTCTAGAGATGATCAGTTTTGCATACTCTAATGTGGGTGCCCTCACGAGGGGCATTTACAACCTAGATGCATAATTTAAGAGTTCTAGCTAACTTCCATGCATTTTGTCACTGAGGAAATTTCATGATTTTCACTAACTCTTGAAATTTTTGATGTCTATTTTTATCCATAATGACATTGCATTACAGGGTCAGAGTATATGATTTTCGTGATGGTTGCTATCCTGTGATGTCCGTACGTGGTCACGGCGGTACTGTTACCGCAGTACAGATGGATGAGTGGAAGGTTGTAAGCGGTGGTAAGGAAGGAATGTTGTGTGTCTGGGACATCAGGATGAAAACCAAACTCTGGGAAACATACGCCAGGTATGTAGACTATTTATTTACTTGCATGTTTATTTATTTGTAAAAGTCAGAAGTATATCATACACCTTTCCAATAAGACAATCTTCCACTTTACAATCTATGCATATTCATTGTATACAAATCATTTAACAAATAAGGCTGCTATGATTTTGTTTTTTTAAACAGAAAGCTCTTTTGTTTAACATTGACTTTCAAGATACTCTGTTTACCCAATTCATGTAATGTTTGGTTTTCAATCTAACCAGTGTGATACTGGTGATAGTATTAACATAACTGTAAAGCATGCTCACCATTTTCCAGTGCCACTGTACAAATGCTTGTTCCTACATCGTTTTATATTTTCCTCATTTTTCCATATTTGGTTAATTGATGGTATGTCATGCGATTTCAGACACCCAATCAGACACTTACATTTTGATAAGACTACTATGATATCAACACACATCCCAGAAGTCGGTGTGAATGAAGACAATGATGACTTTGATATAGTTGTACATAAAAGGTAAGAAAATTTAATCATTACCTTGGATTCCATGTCAGGTGTAACTTGAATCTGATTACATAACTCAAATTCTGAAGACATGAGGATAAAATTACATGTAGTAAGGATATGTTTGCATAATATACTGTACATAAAATGCTTGTAATAAAACTATGTGCACACACTCCTCATTTGGAAATTTCATCTAGGACTAGGCATGTACATTAATAAAAACAAAAAGGCCACCAATCAGCCATTTTTGTTTGAATCTCAAAAAAAGTATGATCATGATACAATGTTTGAATGAAATAATCCTGTTCATCTCCAAGAAATGGTTTGGACAGAGATTTGAAAATGACCATCTATTTGACAAATCACAAAATAATACAGCAGAGTAAAAAATTATGTCTTAACCAAGTAGCTATAATACATTGTACATTTGGATTTAGGAGAATTCCCATTCTGCTCTTACGTAAGCGATACTAATATTACTAAACTTAAGTACATGTATATCATCTTGTAGGCAACGTGGTGAAATCCGGGTGTATAATTTCCTGTCAGACCAAACTACTGAAGGCCTTCCATCAGTCTGTCTGTCAACATATGATGAACCTGAGGGTTACAACTACAATATAAGATTAACTGTGCCATATGATGACGTCTAAATCAATCAGACAAGATATATTTATATACTTTATATAATATCATATACAAGTTGAGATAATTTGAGTGGCATTCGGTCTAATATTATTATTCATTTTTAATTTTGTTGTATAGCAAACAGGACTATCATAATTTTACCTGCATACTATATCTGATTAAATGAATTCTATTTCTACTATTTTTATTAGTAGTGTTTCTATGAATAAAACAAAAGATAACTGCAATATAAGTTGTTCTCCAGAGGGCTCCCATCAGTACAATTATCTGTAGTGCTCACATATACCAACTGCAACTCAGCTAATTAATTTTTGATTCCATTAGTATACAAATAATTTCTGTACCTCCTAAATTACCAATACCCCTCCTCCACAAACAAAGAAAGAAAATTCCATTTTTCAATTGCGGAATGTAAATTTCCTTTAACACCAATCAAGCGTTTTTGCTGTGTACATTTCACATAGGGTTGGGTTGAATTATTTTAAAGATTGTCTTTGTTTCCTGTCCATCACTTAACTCTCACTCATTGGGGTTGTAACAGTGTGTGTATAGGTATGACTGTCCTACCATTATCTCAACTACTAATCACATTTTAATGAAACTTGAAACACGAATGATCTTTGACAATGCAGACCAGATTAATTTTGTTTAAAATCTGTGAATACTGAATTAGTCACTTTTCAACACAAAATCATTCAAATATCTGGAAATACCTTCAAAACACAATGTTCAATCTAACCCTGTACTTACATCCAAACATATATTAATCAATATCTTATTAGGGATTGATTTTTTCACCCAGAATATGGTTTTCCAATAAATAAAAATAATACAAATTTTGGCATAATCATTGGATACCCCAGAACCAATATACAAATAATTATAATAGTTCAATTCTAGAGGGCACTATTGCCTTCTCAGAATTCTGACATGAATCATCTACAATATGTTGTTCAGTGAATAAACAAAAGATATAAAATGTTTACCTATTGAGGGTGCTGTTTAGATAGGCTGACATTATACAAGTGGACCTTGTTATTTTGCTTTACTTAAATAAATCCTTGTGAAAAAGTGGTAATTTTTTAATGCAAAATCATTAAAACTGAGTCCCACATTTTTTGACAAATTCCCATATGGGTGTTGTACAATGCAAAATTACTGTTCATACATATTCTCTATATTCTAGATTTTTGAATGATTACTTTCATACAGAAACCAAATATGAGGTTATACCGAGATTATCGCAAAGAACTGGTATGAAGGCAGTATGATGACCGTATTTGTAGCAAACATGTATTGCTTGAGTGCATACCTGAGTTCTCCCCAAACAGGGTAACAGGGATGCATTTCCTTCAATTTTTGAGGGCCATAACAAATAAAAATTTAAGGTAGAAGCCTACTCATAAATTAAAATACCCAGAATTTATTCATTTTGCAATAAACTGTACTCCAAGGCGATATAAGATTATTGATCTTAAAAAAGTTGGGGGTCAGCAGTCTTTTTTTTCAAGAAATTGGTGGTTGTATTTTAGTGGAAAGTCACCATTTTTACATTATTATAACACTTTTACCATATGTTCCTATGGCAGAGATATTACGCAATGTCTCCAAATCTAGCCTGGTGACATACTAGGCTGAAAAAATCATATATTGTTAATGATAGAGTACTTTTTTTTGTTCTGAATTATTTAAAAAATCTAAGTTTTAAAAAGTGTCAAAAAATGCATTTTTTTCTTTAACATTGTGTTCTATGGAATTGTTCTAAAAAATAGCAATTTAAAGAAATATCAAGACACATTTCTGTAACACACAAAATAATGCTATTTCATTGTACCATGAGACATTAGCTTCATGATTGTACATAATAAACTAATGAACATTGTCATGCGATTTATGACCAATTTTGTCGAAGTTATGACTAGGCTTCTACCTTAATTAATTTGTGTTTGAATTACAACTCAAAGTTATGTCGCAAAAACTGTAAAATTTAAACCACTTAAATAATTAGTTTTGAAAAATGGTGGGTTTTTAGAATACAAAAAAACAAGAAATTTTCAGCCAGTCAAATTTTTTAGAGTAAAAATTGTACAAATATAAAAGTTGGGTTATATACAGTTGCACCGCAAATTAAACGTCAAGCAAATTTACACATACTTTCCTACGTCAACATAGGGGGTCACGTCTCTAAACAAATTTACACACACTTTCCTACGTCAACATAGGGGGTCACGTCTCTAAACAAATTTACACACACTTTCCTACGTCAACATAGGGGGTCACGTCTCTAAACAAATTTACACATACTTTTCTACGTCAACATAAGGGGTCACGTCTCTAAACAAATTTACACACACTTTCCTACGTCAACATAGGGGGTCACGTCTCTAAACAAATTTACACATACTTTTCTACGTCAACATAGGGGGTCACGTCTCTAAACAAATTTTTAGAGTAAAAATTAGTGAGCAATCTCTGGTGAGGTCAAAATTTCGGAGGCCAAAAAATTACAAAAAACCGCCAAATAAGCAGGCGTCTGAATTTTTAGAGCAGGCAAGTTTTTTCAGTAAGAAAAAGAATAGCTTGCCACCATGTTCAAAATAAAGCTAACTCAATTTTAACCAGACATTCACTTAATAATATAATTTTCTGACAATAATGAAACAATTTATATGACATGCAACTTTAATGGTGCTAACACCAAAATATTGTATGCTGTAATCAAAACTCTAATGGTGCTAACACCAAAATATTGTATGCTGTAATCAAAACTCTAATGGTGCTAACACCAAAATATTGTATGCTGTAATCAAAACTCTAATGGTGCTAACACCAAAATATTGTATACTGTAATCAAAACTCTAATGGTGCTAACACCAAAATATTGTATGCTGTAATCAAAACTGTATGCTGTATGAAAACTACATCTGAATATTAATTATGTAATTCTAAATTAAACAGGTAAATTTTAAACAGAAATATACAGGT